ATGCACCAAAAATAAAACAGTATGCACTTAAGAAGCAGGTCACTTTATTCAGACTCACCTATTTACATGTATCATTCACTGCAGAAAGTAGCATCACAATAGGCAATTAGAAGTCTTTCGGTGTTTTCTGGAGACATACTGCGTCTGTTGTCCGTCAAAATGAGTTTATAGGCTGAGAATGATCTTTCTACATCAACTGACGTGATTGGACAGTATTTATACACTGGCGCCGAAGGTTCGGAACATTCATCTGGCAAAGATACCCTAATTCCACTCAAGTACTGACTAACTGACTGAATCTTTTTTTAGTTCTGGGTTCGATTTCAACACCTTTTATAACTTGAATTTAATCTTCTCTCCAATTTCGCCTGGAGCGGAATTCAGTGAACAAGTTGCTTTCTGAAGGAGTTCGAGTGAGTCGTGAAGGTGTGCACCACAAGATTCTAAGCTCTCAATGGCTTTTGAAACTGTAGAAAAATGTGCATGGATACAATTCACATCTTGATAAACAGTATCACTTCCAAACACCTCTTTTGCTTCACGGACACACGCATACTCATCTTCAAGTTTTGTAACCACTTTTTTTTTTCATTGAAATTCTCCTGATAAAGTGAAACTGCGGATATCCATGTCCCCCCCCCCTAGTTAGGACAGGTTCAGGTGGCAGAGGAACCTGAGGTAGGCAATCTTTGTAGAACTGGACACGAGCTGGTGCTTTCAGAAACAGTTTTTTCCCACTTGCAACTAGATCGTTAAAAGCTGGAAATTGTGCGCCTACTTTTCTGCAATAGGGTGTAACCCGTGAGCTAAATAGGTTACGTGTATAATATTTGAATAAAATACTTGTAAGGCCTTTGCTGCTTTCAACATGTAGAAAGTTCCATCTGTGAGTAATACAAGCACCTTACAACACTTATTCTCAATTTCAGATGGCCGTAGTAGTCGCAGAGAATCATTTACAAATCTTGCTATTGTGCTATGGTTGGTTTTCTCTAGTACTTTGCAAGCAGGAAGATGAGGTTTGCCGGGTTCGTCTGGATGTAGCTTACCAGCTACAAAATTTACTATGCATCGGCCACATAAATCGGTTGTCTCATCCTTAATTTTCCTTAATTTCAGCATATATGCAGAAATATGCTCTTACGTTTAGAATATGCAATAACGACCAAAAACCCTCAAAATATGCATTTGCATATGCGTATATGCATTTTCAAAAAATCCGGGCCCTATTTATGATACAGACACATAGTCTTATGAAACTGTAGAATATTCTTAAGAAGTGGTAGTATTGGTGGAATTTCGTGAAATTCGGAATTAATATGGTGTCATTTTAGACCGCCTCTGTGGTCTACTATCACAGTTCCTGGCTACAGATCCAGAGGTCCCGGGCTCGATTCCCGGCGCCGCCAGATTTTATGAGTAGTAGTGGGTCTGGAGCGGTGTCCTCTCAGCTTCGTGAGGATAACTGAGGAACTATTTCAAGGAAACAGCGGCTGCGATCTAGAAAACCGAGATTAACGGCCTTGGAGATTCGTTGCCCTAACCACGAGACACACACTGTCAGCAAAATTTTACACTAAGTTCGCCGACAAGAGGTGGTTGCTCGGTCGGTATAGCTCGTTTGCGGACTAAAGCCACGGAGTTTTTTTTCCATCTCTGCAGTTCTAACTTTGTTAGCATCAGGGACATGGCGGCAGTTCACTCTTATGGGGTTAAACGTCACCAGTGACTTTAAATTTAGGGTCTTGGAATTTTGTATAACAACAGTAAAATGTGTAACATAAGTTAATATTTTGTAAAAATGAAAAATAAAAATATGACAGCTCTGCGAATTATTTTGGTGTCTGCGATAACTGATGAGTCATTTGGCATGTGAAATGCAATATACATCGCGTTATGAACTTTGCTGTCGGCTAATAATAGTGTGGGTCCAGATGAAACGCGAGAAATTGAATCCTTCAGAACCCAAAAATGCACCACTCCAGCAGTGAGTGTTCTGAAGACATGTTAAAGAAACAGGGTTGGGGGTGTGTCGGGCCAAGAAAATGGGTAAGAAGGCCAAACGTTTTAATGGTATCGCATTGTCATATTTTTATATCCTAATGTTTAGAGGTATCAGTTGGCGAATGAACATACTTCCTGGATAAAAGTACAGCTGATTTGTGGAATTCTATGTGATAAGGAATACTGAATTTGTACCTAAGATATGTATAATATAAACTCCGTCATAAATGTAACGCTTTATTGTAGTTCTTGTCCCCCTTCTTTTACCCCACAGGTTTCGGCCACAACTGGCCATCATCAGGTGTATTTCACTTCACGTAGCTGTCACACTGAACTCAATATTAACATTTAAACTCCAAATTTACAATTGTTCATTGCTCTGTCGTCAGTGGGCACCCAATATTCCAGAACACCCCTTGTTGATTTTGTCAGTTATGTTTAAAATCATTTTCACTTTTTCACTTTTTATTTGTTCCATAGATCGTTATTGACAAACATGCCACAGGATGTAGAACATGTCAAAGTTAATTATAAAAGAAAAAACAGTTCCTATACAGAGCTTTGTCAACAATAAAATAGGTACAATAAAATAAGAATAGCCTAAACATATAATAGATTTATCACATTTCTGCACAGTATGCTAAAATCAAGATATAAATATAATATTATCAAATATATAACATTATAAATATAAAATCAAAATAAAATTATAAAATATATTATTGTATTATATTAAAATATTCCTCTAATGAATAAAAGGAATAAAGATACAGAAATTCCCTCAATGCGCTTTTAAATTGTTTTATATCATTTGACAATAGTTTTATAGGAGCAGGCAGTCTATTAAAAACCTTAATCCCTGTATAATGTAAGCCTTTTTGGTACAGTGACAGATGAGACCGTGGGTAATGCATATCGAGACTGTTCCTAATGTCTCT